GTTCCTGAAATACCACACTGGGTTCGTTGGGGGCGGTTCGGTAAACTCGAGACATACACTTCAATTCGAGCTTGTGAAGTAGCTCAGAAGGGCGCCTTGGGCAACCCTGCTTGATACCAAACCGTATGGTTCGTGATCCTGGAGAAGTAAGCTGCTTTGACCTCGATGACTCTGTGCAAATACCCGAAGTAAAAACCATTAGGCCTGTTGATTTGCGGAGTGGTCAAGGTAAAGGCGTCCAAGCCGTACAGCAAAATTGGGAGAAACACTGAAAGAAAAATTCGAAGCTTGGTTTTCTTGGGGAGACGACTGTTCCACACAAGACGAAGCTTCTTGTAAGCTTCAATGGTTAGGGCGTGCCTATGCAAAAAAAGCGGTTTCAAAGGGCTTGGTCCAGGAAACAAGGGAACCCAGGTACTTAACAGAGTCCGCGGTTGGCACGGTTGTGCCGTCGTGGAAGGTCAAGGTTTGAGGTCCGTATCTGGGGTCTATGAGAAGTTCCGTTTTGGAGGCGTTGAGGTGCATGCCGTAAAGGCTCGCTTCGATTTCAAGTGCTCCCAAGATTTTCTGCAACTGCGTATGGTCAAAGAAAGGAGAAGGGTGTCGTCGGCATATTCCAGGTCATAACAGGAGTTATTGACCGACCAAACGTTAGTCGGGACACCCTGAGTAAGGAGTTGACCGTCAACGTCCTCGAAGATAACTGAAAACAGGATGATGAAAAGGCACGGGCCAAGCGGACAGCCCTGCCTGATGCCTGAACCGAACTCACCTACCTACCGCCTTGTCTCCGGAAGCACAACGCACAGCTCAAATGATGCGTTGTGATAAAACTGCTCAACGAGTGCAAGTTCTACTTCTGGAAGGCCAAACCTACGCAAGGCTACGATAAGGGCGGTGTGGTCGATAGAATCAAAGGCCTGCTTCCAATCCAAGAAAAGTAGATTGAGAGGCCGTTGCATCATATTGGCCCATTCCATCGCTCGCCTCAATATAAATAAAGGCTGCGAAGTTCCGCGGTGTGGTCTGAAACCATATTGGGAGGGTCAGGCTCAAAAAGTAAGTTTTGAAAGTCGGGTTTGGATCATAGCTGCAACTATTTTGTATGCCATGTTCAAGAGCGAAATGGATCGGTAATTTGCAGGGTCAGTGTCCACACCCTTCCCTTTAAAGATCACTACAACTCGCGCCTCCAGCCAGGTTTGGGGGATATCGGGGGTTGCCCTAAGGTCATTATAGACTTGAAGAAGTTCACTTTCGGCGGTGTGATCAAGCATTTGAAAGAGTTCCCCTGCGATACCGTCTGGGCCTGGAGCTTTTCCCTTTTTTATTTTGCCGATGGCTTCCTGCAATTCTTCCAGTCGTAATGCAGGTCGGGAAAGAAGGGTTGCTGCATGTTGTTCCGAATCCGGGTGTTTGTTCCATTGGTTTTGCGCGTAATGGTCACGGAATGCAATATGCGCGCGGCTCCACGGAACAGGTTTACCATGGACGCTGAGGTGTGACTTCCTTCCTTGGAAGCCTTTCTTCTGATTGCGAGCAACCTTCCAAACTGCAGAATGGTCTGCGCGCGGATCCGCAAGCAGTTGGTCGTGCACCTATTGGACTTTATCCTGTTTGGCCGAGCGCTTGGCCTGGTATAACAGCTGCTTAGCGTTGTCTTCGTTGCTAGCGCTGGCCGCGCCTGCCTGCGCTAAATTTTGAAGTGTGGTCCCAGGGCCGTCTTGGTGCCAGGTTTTGCATTGGGAAAACCTGCTTGGCAGCCGCTAACATACGCGCTTCGAGAGTGCTTGTGTTAGTGCTTACGGGGCCGGTATGGTCTGGCTAAGTAGTCCAAGTGCCCTGCGCGAAAGCAGACTGTCTGCCTTGATTCACCAATTTATCTGCGCGTTCGTTTCCTTCCTGCCCCGCGTGCGCTTTGATCCATTGAAGGTGAAGCCGTCTAGTTAGCCGCAACACTGAGCGGATATACTTGACCATAGCCTTGTGTTTTTTTAATTTTTGGCTTTCCGTTTACCTTTCAGGACGTTGATAACCCACTGGCCATCCGAGTGAATGACAACTTGGCGGTATGATCTCTCACGCGCGAATAGCGCAGCCTCCAGAATCGCTGTGAGTTCCCCTGTATTGTAGGGACCGGGCCAAAAACATCCTCCCAGCAACCGCCATCTTTAAGGCAAAAGCCCCAACCTGCTGGTGTAGTAGCAGTGCAACGGCCTCTGCTACCAGAACCATCTGTGTAGAAGTGTTTGGCGGTATGGTCAGGCGGCTCTATGGTTGCTGCCTGGAATGCCTTGGTTTGTTCAGCGGTAGGGGCAGTCACCTGATAAGGCTTGGTTTGTTCAGCGGTAGGGGCAGTCACCTGATAAGGCTTGGTTTGTTCAGCGGTAGGGGCAGTCACCTGATAAGGCTTTAGGTGGGGATTTCGTTTCGGGCGCTTTGCAAGCTTGACCGACACCTCTGTGACAAGCGGGTAATGATCAGAGGAAAAACCACAGTGTAGGAGAGACTTACAGGACTTAATTCAGCCACTGTCTTCTACACAAGGTGTGGTCAAGCTTCTGAAACCGAACAAGATCTACTTGCGGCGGTATGGTCGGTGGTGCCAGCAACGAGGGAATGTCAAGATATGAGCGGATTTTGAAAGCGCTTTTGAGGGCCTGGGGACCTGCAAGTTGCGACGTCTTAGAATGGAACTGCTGGAGTGTCAAGAACAACTTGTGACCAATCCTGAGGAGGACTGTGTCTCTGTAAGTGATTTGTTGCTTGAAGCAAGGCGTCCTAAAACTACAGACCTCGACCATGTTGTCCTGCTTCATAAGATTGATACATAGGCTACGATTCGATGACGCGGAATGGTCGATAGCTTGAGTGCCCTTTCCATAAACAAAGGGGCCCAACACTCCATTGTCCTTACGGTGACGGGCCTGAAACCTTACGTTAAGATCACCAGTCGGGTAAACAGGTTCGGGCTGAGGGATTTTTCCTAAGTGTGTTTCAAGTGTTTCCCAAAACGGAGAGGCGGATGAGCCTCCGGGAGACCTGCAGAACGTCTTGGAGGTGTGGTCTAAGCCACGGCTCGATGATCGCACCAACCCCAGCAAATCGGTTTTGCTTGGTACCCGAGAGAATCACAAGGTAGCCCTCGGATTGGCACGAGTAGTACGAGGTTGTTCGTGTTTCCGTAAGAATCAGAACACCTAGCTTATGTTCCTACATGATCTGAACCGAGGCCTTTAGCTTAAGGGTCTCAGCGAATCCTTGCACGTTTAGGCCAAGTTTAGGCATGCAAATCTGAGGCTCTGACCGTAAGCCGTAAGCTAGAGGCGGTGTGGTCGGGAAATGAACCGAATGATGCGAACGTTTTCTTTTGATTTGCTTCTGCCAAAGAATGGCTTGTTTGAACCACTTCGCTCGGGACTGAGCGGCTTTTTTGGGATTGGGGCACGCAAGGGGGCGGGGTCCCAACCGCAAGCCCCCATCTTTGACGCAATGCCTACGCCACGCGCGGTGCTCCCTCCTACGGAGCCTAGGCCTTGCTTTTGCGTGATCCCTCTTTGGGGTGCACTCTTTGTTACCCTGCGTGAGGGAACCCGGCGTGCCGCGCGGCGGCGGTGCTCGGCTGCGGATTGTGTGTTTGAATTCGCGAATTCTACGGTGTTTTCCTTTAAGGAAAAAGGTGCGCCATCATCCAAGAAAATTTTACGCCTTCTGCCAGAACGATGCCTAGACTGTGTTGGCGGTGTGGTCTGGGAAAGTTGGGGAAAAGTTGAAGGAGGGGTTGGGGTGACGCAGAGTCCTCGGTAGTCCAAAAGCAGCTGCCTATGATGGGCGATATGGTCTCAGCTAAAGAAACAGAAACCGAAGCTTTGAGCAGATCCCCTTCCCAATGCAGATTCAGGGGAATGTTCCCGTTAACGATGTGCATGTGTTTGTTATGTTCAACAGACTCGTTCCAGGTTTTGGGGGGAGGCTCGAAGGGTTTGAGGAGAATATCACATTTAGAGGGACAGAAACTCATGCCGCTGAAAGGGCCACTGACCTCGCGGTTTGATCGCCCTAGCCAGACACCCGTCGCTCCTAAGCGGTGGCAGCTTGCTCTCGTTGAGAAAATTTCAAAGGCGAGAGCTGCCTGCCAAAAAGAAGGAGCTTCACACCGCCCAGTGAAAAGCTTCAAAGGGGGCGGTGTGATCAGGAAGATCTGCACTTCCCACGACCATCCATCTGTAGCGGTGTGGTCGCGAGATGGCTTTGTGAAAATTCGGAGGCCACCTCATCAGCTGCCGTCGTTCTTTCCAGCTCGGCCGCCTTTGTAGCCACTGCCTCTGCTCTGGGATGCAGAGCCTCGGTCATCCTGCATCTCCACATCGTCTGTGTGCAGGAACGGATCGGGCCCTGGGCCTGCGGCGTGGTCTGGGGCCGCCGGCTTCTTATGTTGGTACTGATGGCATAGTCCCCAACCTTCTCAGCTGCCTTTCCCTTCTTGTCACAGTACTCGTCCCAGACAAAGGCCACCTCATCGACTTTGGTCAGCGAAAGCGTGAAAGGGTAAGGGCAACAATAGCTGTTCCAGATAACCGTGTTGCTCCAGTGCTTCTTGCCCTTGCCCTTTGCAACTCTCTTTCCAGACATGTTGGCTTCCTGGAGAGCCGTGCGGGCAGGTCTGGGTCCACAAAGTCTCCGCCAACCTCCGTGGAAGGGACTTCCATGAGTCTTGCCAGCTCGGGCACCACTTCCAGACGGCCCACGAAATCTCCCTTGTCCTGGAAATAGAACAAGCGAGCCCATGCCGTGGCTTCTGGGTCAAACTCGTCGTCTGCTTTCGGCACCATCACAGTCAGAGTTTTCCACAGAATCGTCATCTTGTTCCCACCGGCGGCGTAGTCAGGGTGATTGTTGATCACGGACAAGATGATGCGAAGCGGCAGCTCCAACTTGTGCTGCCACTGAGGACTCGAAGGCTGACCCTGATGTGCTTGCCATGCACAGGGGTGCTCTCGTCAGAATACAGTGGCGTCCCTGAGCTGCCACCAAACTTTTCCATGAAGGCCTGCCGAGTTTCCCAGCTTTTGAACGACAAAAGGGTCATCGTTGAGAAGAAGTCGTTCTGCTGCGGAACGGTCGTAGGGTCCTGGGTGAGCACGTTGATGTACCTCGGCATCTCATGGGCTGTTTGGTCTGCGACGAAGCCGCGGAACTTCAGGAAGTTGAGAATACAGGAGCATTGCGCCAGCATTCAACCCACCATGTAAAGACGCTGGTCCGGCTTCATAAAATTCGGCCACCCAGAGGTCAAAACCTGCAGTCCAGGCTGGTGCTTTTGGGCAAGACGATTGTCTGCCGAAAGCCACTGCAGCTCTTGGTCTGGCCTTCAACACCGTTTCGTCCACGGTCTTCAAGGCCGCTTCCAGTTGCAAAACCAAATTTGTACATTTCCGGGCGAGTAATTGCACGATGATACGACCTCACCATCTCGAAGACCTGCTGATTGTTCTGCACAGGCTTTGCCAGCCAGTTCTTCATGGCGGTTTGGTCGTTGATATCCACACCATGGCTTGCCGCTGTAAGTCCCACTGCTGTGCTGTCCTCGAAAGAAAAAGGCTGCAACAGGGAAGGACCTTCCTCCGATGCCCCTTGCGGTGGCGCCGGTTGGGAGGCAAGTCCTGCCTCTTGCGGTGTGGTCAGGCCCGACTGCAACGGTGTCGGGGCGACCTCTTGTTGCGCCTCTGTTGCTCCCAATACTCCTGCTGCACTGCGGTGTAATAATTAGTCAAGCCTGCCGAACTGACTACGCATGGACTCAAACTGCTGCGTCGCACCCTGATCTGCTGACATGGCGTCGAAGCAAAATGCTCAGAAAAACTTCTCTACCTGACCGCTCGCCTTAAGCGGTTTGGTCAGAGACCTGCAAGCGTGCAAATAACAATCTGGGTCGATACGCCTAGCTAGCGAGCTTACGTTCAGAAGCTGGGCCTCAAAGTTTCCAGTCATCGTCTCTCAGCTGGGAGCCAAGGGGCTTAGTAGCAGTAGAAGTATCGGTAGCAGTAGCAGTAGCAGTAGAGCAGCAATAGTCGTCGTCGTCGTAGTGGTAATAATAACGATAATTATTATTCCGTTTTTTGTTATAATAGCAATTCGAGTAAAAAATATTATAGTGATAATTATATAATTGTGCTAACTGTAATAATCGTAAATAATCAAAACCGTAATGATAATAATCATCAACATCATAACACGGTTTATTGTCGACCCCTTCTTCTTTTATTTGACCCCTACCCGGAACTGCAGGACCGTCTGCCTCAGCCTGGCTTTCAGGCTTTCCCAGACATCATCCTCAAGCTCGTACGCGAGTTCCTCTTGCACCTCAGGAGAAGCTGAGTTCGCAAGACAGGAGTACTGGAAACCGTGCCCGGCAGCGTGGGAACTGATGGAAAATTGACCCTGTCCGAAATTTGATCTCGAGAGGGGCGGAATCCGGAATCATACACAACTGAGTGCACCCGCCTTTCGGCGCAGAGCTTGACATTGCATCAAGCAGGATTGAAATGTATCCACCTTAGTAGTCCAGCGAAACGAAGTTGCTATGACATTCCTGAGCTACCATCATTGATACAGCTCTATGACACAACCAAACTGGAACGACAATGCTTACAAACGAGGGCTACCAGGCTATCAGTGTTACTTGTTTTGAGATCGGAGCGGCCGCAAAGCATCCTAATTGATGACCCTGATGCCCAAACTTCAAACTTGCGACCGAAATTGAATGAAAAGCTTCTCCACATGCTGACCGAAGTCGAGCAATGCGGATCTTGCTGCCTGACTGAAGGACTAATGACTGAACTACCAGACTGACTGATTGGCTTGGTGGTGACTGAGGGACTGGTTGATTGCCTTGATGTGCGTTGTTACACTTACAATGCGCAAGTAGCGACCCAAGCCAATTTGACCTGTGAAGTCGTACAACACGCAAGAATGGCACTAGACTTGTGCTTAAGTGCGCACTCATACCAAATCTGAACCTCCGAAATTCCTAAAGACAAATATAAACACAACTTGCGCACTGGCCTGAGGCTCATCAAAAAACTCGTCCGGAATCAGCTGTGTTGGCACGGACCTTAACAAGACCAAAAGCTACAAATGAAAATGCACGTGCTTCGCATAAAAGCTTTCCCATTGAGAATCTCACTCCGAGCCGCTTTCCTCTGCTCTAACTTTCGTCTGCTGTCGTCTTGTGTCTGGCAATCGCCGCCTGCAACGTCTGGCTTCGTTGACAAACTTTTGGCCACTTCCGTTAAGGATTGAAGCACCTTGAGCTCACGGCACCGACACCCACTGCGATGAAGGCTGGGCGCAGGTGCCCGCATGCTTGAAAAACACAATGCCGCCTGGCAGTTCTGAGATGCTCAGAGCTGAAGAAGTCCAAGCGCTTTCTTGCAATACATCTGCTAAGGCTGCGAGGGGAACCGACGTGGAACCTGCTGGAAAGCACAGGCGACTGGCGCAGCTGCAGTCCGCTCGGGACGTACGGTGGGCCAGTCTGCATGGCCATGGTGATTGCTTAGAAGTTAGCAGGTATCATGCTTTTACCACTTGTATCCGCCCTGATCGAGAGGCAATGCAAGTCAAAGCTTGAGGTGCAGAAGTGGCTGCTACCAGGTCAGCACGACCGGGGCGTCTTGCGAGAAGATCATTGAGGCACGGCTAAGACTGTCACATATGCACGACATAAAGCCCTGGTCTTGGAACTGGTCACCGGCGAAGCACCTCACGAAGGTGTCAAAACACACCGGCAGGTGTCGACTGCAATTTCGGCATGCGTCTTCTTGCGAGACATGACCACATGATTGGCATGGGGACCAACCCCGAGAACTCTGCGTCACCTTTCTCAAACGGCGTGTTGAGGAGGTACGTGCGTGTGGCAGCAATGCCGGTGACAGGATCGACACCCTGACACAATCAAAACACAAGCTGGAATCTGTACAACGCGACGTTCCTGCCTCCCAGATCATGTGCTGCGCGTCCGGTGCAAAATGCTGAGGCCTACGCAGCGATGCAAGGTCGAGGCTCTTCAGTACAACTAAGTTGAGGCTCAAGCGGCTCGTCTCCGGTAGGGATTATTCCAAGGACGATCTTGTCGGACCTGGGCACAACAGAGGCAACCTGCAAATTGAGCGACGATAAGACAACATGAACTCGAACCCACTGGAATGCACAAGGAAGAGGTATGCGCGGAGTGGTGGAAGTGGAAAAGAATTGGTTGGAGGCTTGTGGACTGGACCTGCAGCTCAGACTGAGCTTGATGCTCCACACCGAAGAGGACCCGCGGGGCCTGGTTCTGCAGCAATAAACTCTAAACATGCTTTGTCTAAGGCAGACGCCGGATTTAGTTGCAAAGCCGGAGCTCCTGTCTGTCCTGCCAAAGAATGAGAAATCTTCACGTTCTCATTCAATTTGCCAGAACGGCGCCTTCTCGCAGAGCCACCACATCTTCATCAGTCATGGATAAGCGCCCGTACAAGAAATAGTCCAGCAAAGGACTAACAGCCTGCAACAATTCATGCAGGCTTCATTAAGCAGCATGTACAGTTTATATCATAACTTGTTTTCTCGCTGTGCTGCTACCAACCTTATCCATTGCAGAAAAATCAGGAGATGGCCGCATCTTGCAAGAAGCAGTGTTAGTAGCGTACACTACAAAGGCTGAAGGAAGACTGCACTCAGCGGAGAGCTGTACCGTGGAAAACCAAGAACAAAACTGGCTGACAGTCCGGATCTTCGTTTGACATTACTCACCAGAACGTTTGCCGTGTCACTTAAATAACGAGCACAGCAGCCGGCACGGCAGTTCTTTTGATCCGATGCCGAAACATCCAGGCCGTTACCGGAGCACTGCCTGCAGAAGCCGAACAGAGCGGCAGCAGACCGAGGAAAGTTTCGAAATGAACAACGAGCAAACCCCCACTTTTCACAGATGGCCGGTGCACGACAGTCGATACTGCGCGTTTGGGCTTTGGGCGGTAAACCCTCGCAAAAAAAGCCAGAGCAAATGTTCCGGCAACTCTGCGTCTACCGAATTGTGCGATGAGGTCCTTGCACGCTACAGCGACGACAAGATTTCGAGCTCCAGATCATCAGGATGGCAGGGAAAAACTGACAAAGAAGATTGTGTTTGACCTTTTGTGCGAGAGGGCTGAATGCTTAAACGCTTCTGTGGCGAGCACACAACGGTGAATGAATGCAAGTTTGAAGAAGTCCGACCAATAAACCAAATAACTCAAGTATTTAGCCTGCTGTGTGATCGGCACGTTTTCTGAACATCTAAGTTGATCATGTGCGGCGGTCTGGTCTGGTTTACTAGGAGCTCGGGAGTGCACCATATCCCAGGCGAATAGGGATAGAGACGGCGTGCCGTTGTCGATCTACACAAACATCCCTGATCACGATCCGGAACGATTATTTGACGTTATTCACTGGCAGCTTACTAGCATGTACGCAGTGGGGAGTGCAGTTCGAACTGATCCGATGCCGTGATTCATACGCCATTTAGCCTCCTACCGGAGCACTGTGTAGAGAAGCAGCGGCGGCGCCTGCAACCCCGCCAGGGAAACAACCAAAATCGTAATAAATCGCATAGTCAAGCACCAAGCTCAGGCTCAGTCACGAGGAAACCGTCAAAGCGGGAGGAAGACGGTGAAGCGGAAAAAGTGAATTCCACGGCACATTTACCATCTCATCTTGTTGGCGTCCGAGAGGGGAAGGATCGGATGCCTGGCTGAAGAATGGTCGACGTAGACAGCCATGAGGCACGGCACTGGTCCAGAAAGAAGCACTGAAGCGGAGAACATGACATAGCCAGGGAAAAACTAAAACCTTTTCAGGAGGCAGAGTCGATACATGCTATCAGCAAGATGAACAATCCAGCAATTCCCAAAAAACTATGAACGAAATCAAGAAAACAAGACTTGAAATCGGAGACCGTCTATCCGTGCTGCGCCAGCAGCCTTGGCCTCAGAGGGGCCTCGCATCGGAATGCGACCGCGGTTGGCCTCCCGGGCAAAGGTAGCTCCGCGCGACTGAAACCGCAGCGCGGGCGGAGGCGGCGGCGTCGATGAGGACGAAGAACATGTGTCAGTCGCGAACAACCGAAGGGCCGCGTGCAGCTGCACACCGGGTGCACTCTCCCACGCTTGCCCGGCAAATGCTTCCAATGAGCATGCAGTCTGGCCGTGCCGATTTGTAGGCAGAAGATTTACCGTCTTTGAATTCGCACGACCTGACCGCCCCAACAGAGTCAACAATAGAGCTGCGTACCAACAAAAGAAAGCTGCCTGTAATAGGGCGCAGCTATGCAAACAAGTGACACGGCACAACAAGCTGCACCAACACTGCAGAGGGACGTCAGGTGGGAGAAACGGTCGGAGCTCCTGCCTACCCGCACTAACCTCGAACACTGGTAACTACTGAAGGGTCCTTGTTTGTTCGACATGTTCCTGGTTCCTGCATCACTCCAGTGTCACCATCGCAGCAATCCGAGCCGCCCAGAAGGCAACTACAAAGGAATCATAAACACAAAAGAAGAAAACAACCACACCACAGCACACATTGACAATCATAAATACAAATGTGAGATCCGCAAGGAGAACAGCCGAACGAAAACCAGCAGAAAACCAATAGCTCAAAAGCGGAGCTCAAAACACTTAGCCGGCCTGAGGACGTAACTACAGATGAAAGATCAAAATGAGACGGTTTTGAGAACCAACGCACACAGTAGAAAGCCATGCACCAGTCGGTGTCAGATCGACCTAACACAAGAACAGAATCGATACTAAACAGCCATAAATACAGTAAATCTTGACAACCACCACCAAAACTGCTCACAGGTTGGCGGGTAGCAGTCAGAGAGGCCACTTAAAATCAGGCACAGTGCAGCATCAGAAAGAATCAGAAACACTATGTCACGAATTAAGCAGAACAATCACAACCCCGATGCCTAGAAAAGTGATGTCAACCGGCAGCACTTGACTTGCAGCAAAGACTACCGAAGACAAAGCTAGACAAGCACCAGTAGCGATACAAGACTGCAGCGAAGCAGCATCTCAAATTCTGCATGTGCAGTTGACCCACATGGGCATTCAAATCCTGCCGGATTCACCAGGAAGTCCTTTCCTGCATGAGAGTCATAGCAGAGCAACGCGTCCTGTGCAGACAAACCGTGGCTGCAGGCTTCCGGTGAATTTGTTTCGACCAGCACGTATGGCAGTAAAAACAAAGCCCGATCAGGACCGTCAAAGCCTCCCAGGCTTTCTGCAGCTTTGAGACCAGGCTCCGTGCCTGCAAACAGCAGTGTCATCTTTTCGGCGATGGATCCGGCTCTGCTGAAGGAGGATCTGGCTGTCGACCGGTCTCACATTCGCACACGATTTGTTACAGAGGTCCCAGCCCAAAGCATGGATTGGAGATCCCAAGCGGCCAAGATCTTCTGCTGGAAATCTGCCTGACAATTCAACGTACTCAGCCTGACTATTGAAACTAGTAACTAGAGCAGCTTTGCCCAGCTTTAGTCCTCTTGCGATATCAACAAGCTGCACTTCTCGACAGCCCTGTCACCTCCAAGTTTACCACTTGCCGGCGCAAAGTCCTTACTCTCGGGTAGCGAAACAAGCACTACAAATACGGCTCTAACTGGCTCTAAATGCCACAAATCTTGATCCAGCAGTAACAGCAACTGTGTCTCATCTCCTTACACCAAGACATGTGAAAACTTGAGATTCTTGTCCTAGTCTGGAGGACATCACCAAGCATATCCAAGCGTCAAGAATCCATGGCCGTAGTCGTCGAATCCAAAAGCCTCGCAGAGTGCCGCAAACGCTATTTCAATCTGTCATGGCTGAATGTTCGAGTTGCCGGAGCCATGGGAAATCAAAAGACACGCGACTCTGTTCACGATCAGCTCTTGATGCTCACAACCGGCGCTTTAGGCTTAAGCTGCCATAATTCATTTGCAAGGAGGCCTGCACCAAGGGCCACCGCTCCACGGTCATTTTCAAGTCGTGGCCTCTACTCCGGGTGTGGGAAATTTGCCACTGTGCACATCGAAAAACTCGAACCACAGCAGGACACAGGAAGCTGACACGATTTTGCAAACTTGCCCCTGTGAATCCAGCCTGTATCGAGTTCTCTTACCTTTGCTGTGGCGCAACCGGAGTCGAGACACATGACCGATGCAGAAAAGACAACACACTGCCATCAAGCAGCAAACACACCCAGGGAGCTGCAGCTCTTCACCATGTCAATGAACGCTCCAATCTTAAGAGCCTTAGGAAGTTTCTTTTCACGCTCCTGCGGAGCAGCGCATGGTGTAGCTGAGCAATCAGCTTCATATTTGTCGGCATCGGCTTCGTCTTCTTCTGATGGCACCTTAGGTATACAGCCTTACCTCGACACTGCGTACACGTATTCTCGACGTTGATACCACTTCTCTTGGCGACCATTGTTGTGCCTGCATAGGCCTGAAGCACCCCGTCGTTTGCCAACCGCTGAGGTCCCAATCGCGTTCGGGCCATGTGCTCACGTTTCAATTGTGACTTGTGATTCTCAAAGACTCCCCTGTTCTTGTGTAAAGCTACTGCGGCTCCCTGAATTCACAACTGGATGAAAAGCTTACTTAGCAGATCGGCTGCTGGAAGAATCTGCTGAACGAAGGCTTTCTGGGGGCTTCGACTCGTTCAAACCTCTTGACTCCGATCACTGCAGTCGTCCAGTCCGCAGCAGGGCACGGACGCCCTTCTGCCCCTCCACCAACTGCGCTGTGTTTGCAGTAAAAGCAGTACACGACAGCAAATGCAGCATGCTAAGCAGGTCCCTGTCCCGTTCTGGAGTAGGTTCAGTTCCGAAAGTATAAGTTTGAGCTAAAAACAACATACAGGGTGTTGCGTTAGCTGCAGAAGACGGACAGTTCTGAGCTCTGCACAATGATGGTCACCGCTTCCCAGAGCGCTGTTCGCATAACCACCTGTTCGAACCGAACTTCTGTGCAAGCTTCAATCAAAATGCATCGTTCCAACGAGCCCGACTGGCGTTCGGTTGGCGTGTTGATTCGATGGTGAGGAATCTAGCTGGATCTAGCTTTGTAGATGGGCAGGGCCACGGTCACGAAATGCGTGTCGCGATGTGTCGCCTTGTCTGATTAGGTCCTCGAGCTTGGGAAGACAAGTTTCGAAAAAGGGTCAACACACATAACAGAAGTGATGCAGAAACACGCCGGATAATCACCTTTTTGCAAGAAACAGGCGTGCAATCACATGACATGCCACCACCTCCTGCTGCACGGATCGCTTGCAGAATATGTACGTCCTGCATCGAAAACAAAACGAATTGGCAGCTTGAGATATCAGCGATCATGATCGAACTTGTTCTTGGCATGCTGATGCACAGTCGTCGACTTGCAGGCTCCTGTCTGCACGGATGCAGACGAAACACTCACTGTAGACTGTGTCGACTGTTGATGCCTTGGATAAGAAGCCCATGATCTTACTCCTCACAGTATCCACATCTCATGTTTACTCTCAGAGCTCAAGCAGCTCTCACGGGAGGTGAAAGAATTGAACGAAGATGCCAAGAGTTCCCTGCCGCTGATTCCGAGGAGCAGCCAGCTCAAAGCCACCTGGACAGCTTGGCAAACACAGCACGCAAGGACTCGTTCGTGTCTTCCTCATGACGAGCACGAAGATTCCTTTGGGGCATCCCGTTTGCTGAAAAGACACGTCTTGACGGGCATCTCGTTTGCTGAAAAGACACGTCTTGACACAAGCTGAAAGCCCCTGTTTGTGCTCGGGCGGCGTGGAGTGACCAATTGCCGCTGTATCGCGGAAACAACGCGACTGGTTCGCAAAATCCAAACCTTTGAAACTATGGACTGATTCCGCAACACCCCCAACCCTGAAAGTGGAGTGGTTCTGAAAAACTCGAACCCCTGAAATGCTTGACAGGAAAACCAAAACCCCAAGACCCGACTCAAAGGACTAATTGGTTCCCAAACAAAACCTGAACCGTAAACGGAGTGCGCAGTTGCGGAAAACTAAAAACTGAAAAAGGCGCTGCAGAACCCCAAACACCCTGAACACAAACCTGAAACCCAAAGGAGTGAGTGGTTGCGAGAACTCCGGACCCCCAAAGAATCATGATTGCTTGCCAGAATTCACGGAGCCGCTACGAAGCCCAAAAAAATTGTGATGGCCTGGTTCCCCGAAACGAAAACCACAACCCCGAAAACAGTGAGGATGATGCTGATGTGGATGATGGCTTGCAATTGTTTGAATGCTAATAAACACAATGGTCATGAGCATGAGGTGTCGGAGCCCAGGAGGTTTAGGCAAACGGGAATCCGCTGCTCGGAGCCTCACCCGGACAATGGCATTCGTGAGCGGCCACAAATCACACGAATGTCATGTGAGGCACCTCATTCGCACCGTTGAAAGACACGTCAGGTCCACTTCCAATGATGACAGCCGCAAGACCTTGCGAGTAGGCTGCAAGAGTACATGTGGGAAACAGCCCCGGCGATGACTGAACATACCATCTCGCGAAACCTCAGACTGATTTCCACGGGAAGCAGATACATCCACAGAATCTTTACGCTTGCAAACATGACAAAATTTAAGCTAAAACATTAGGGAAACACATACACAAATCGAACAAACACGCACCGCCCACCTCGCGACTTTCGCAAAATTTGCAATTGGATCCATCGGGCGCGGCATGCTAGAGCCTCTGTTCACAGCAGGAGCGTGCATACTTCTCAATTCTCATCGCCTGGCCAAGAAAGCTGAGGAACACACTGAATATCCAGTCAGGTCTACGCTTTTCAGCCACACAGGCCGATCTGCCAATCGTTTTGTCGAAGAGGGCCTCATTTATGGCACCATGCAAGTGAATCTGCATTGATGTTTGCCAAGAATGCTATGAATTCAATGCTCGAAACCACACATGTGCGAAGGAATGAATTCAAGGTAAGGGCTCTCGCATCACCGAAACACATTCTCGTTTCAGCAATTCGTTTTTCCTGTTGCGCGCAAGCTCGCTGTGGATCCACACTGACTGGCCGCCATGGTGGCATGGTATCATCTACTCTGGCTTTTTCGATTTCCATGGAAAGCTGGCTGAAACTGAATTCTATGACCAACTTGCGCCACATGCACTGCCAACTCTTGATGGGCTCCCACTGGAGTTGACAAGTTGCTGTCGTTGGTGTCACTGATGTGAGTCACTGCGTTGAAGCCATGCACGAAACATGCAACATTGAAACACTGCAGGGTTGTCATCGTCGTATTGGTTGCACACAATGAATTTGCAAAATATGTGCTGTTCAAACAAAATCTGAACGCCAAAATCAGCCAGGAAACTGGTCAGCTCTGCTCACTTAGTTTCCTTAACGACTGCTCACAACTGCAGAAACAAGTGCAGGCGCTCTACTTACCTTTTTGTCACGGTATGCCCGGAATCTGAAGGCATTGCGGTCGAGTCTAGGCTATGCCTATGCAATGCCGAGTTCTCTAGGTCGCACTGCTCTNNGGGGCCTAGGCCCCGAGGCTGGGCCCTAGGCTAAAAAGTAACCCCCCATCTAGACTTTGTGAAAGCTCGGAGTTCAGTGGTGGGGCCACTAACTGGGCTCAAAGCGAACCAAAGGCGATATTTCCGAGGCCGGAAAGCAACAGAGCCATCTTCTTGTGAGATGGCACGGCAAGCGGAGGCATGGTACCGTTGAGGCAAGCAGTACTAGGCAACTAGAGAGTCTCAGGAGGCCCGGAGACCAGAGGCCAGGGTGAGACTTATGTTCCGGCTCAAAGTCACCAAGAGTCCAGCGTAGGCGATGTAGACGGATGGACCTGGGCGGCGGGTTTAGGGTGGAAGGTTTAGGGCCTAGGGCGTCCGGGGCAAGTACCAGAGGCTGGGCTAGAGGCTGTCCGAGGCTTCTGAGAGAAGCGTATGAGCTCGACTTTGCGAGCGAGGCGGAATACTGCGTCTCCTAAGGCAAGCAGACAGGTATCCGCAAACTCGTCTTTGCGAGGATGTGTCGGCTAGGCAAGTAGCCACGGCTTGTCTGAGGCCGAGTCCCAGGGAGGACCCAGCTGAGCTGAGAGCCAAGGCCGAAGTAGGCTGACCTGAGAGCAGGGCATTTGAACAGGAACGCGAGAGGCTCGCTTCGCTGTAGGCAAAGGCTTGGACTTGAGGCATAGTCGTAGCTGGAGTGGGTGGGCGGGTTTTCTTTTGAGAGGCTACGAAGTTCAAGTGCTAGAGCCATACACTGCGGTGTAGAAGATTCACGACCTGCGAAAACACACACGAACTAAAAACGTGTACCGTTCTCTAGGTCGCACTGCTCTATCACTTGAAGACTTCGATGCACTCTTTTTG